AACACATTCACTTGCGTTCATTGTCCGCCTCGGCTCCTTACCAAAGAACTCGGTCAGTATCTTGATAATAGCAGGAACCCTAGAACCCGAACCAACAACTTCAACCGAATGTATGTGCTCAGTAGTCAAACCGGCCTCAGCAAGAGCCTTCTCCAACGGCCCCTTCACACGTTCCAAGATGGGAATGCTAATCTGCTCAAACTCATCTCTCTTGATAAAACCACGGACATCCTTCTCGTCCATCAAGCACTCTATGTTCAAGGGCGCTTCTGGATTTGCACTGAGAACCTTCTTCAGTTTCTCACACGCGGCCCGCAGCCTCAGGCATGCCCTAGCATTCTGATACACGTCAATCTTATATTCCTCTTTGAATTTCACAGCAAAATGCTTGAAAAGGACCTCGTCAAAATCCCTTCCGCCCAAGGACCGGTCAAATGAATGTGCCAATATCTTCAGCTGACCTTTCTTGAAGGCAGCAATACACACCTGCATGCTGGCATGCCCCACGTCGACAAACGCAACATTTGTTGCTTCGCTTTCAGGTAAATCAGTTTTATAGATACCATAAGCTAAAGCAGTAGCCGTCGTCTCATGAATGAGATGAAGAGGGTGCAAGCCAGCGATCGTTGCCGCATCTATTACAGCCCTTCTTTGAAGATCAGTGAAATAAACAGGTATCCCGATACAGCAATCGACAACCGCTGCATTTAAATTCTTTTCGGCAATGGTCTTCAGATTGGAAAGCACCATTCCAAGAAGCTGAGTTGGCGTAAACGTCTTGATTTCCCCCAGATACTGAGCATGGATCAAGGGATATCCATCAGGCCCTTCAGCCACCGAGAAGGGAAGCAGCTTGAGATCACGCTGCAGTTCGGGATCTGAAAATTGCCGCCCAATCAGCCGCTTAATCTGCGATATTGTGTTCTTCGGGTTCATCATGCTCGAAGCAGCTCCAGCAGTTCCAAGAAACCGCTGCTTGTCGCCAAAGCACACGAGAGCGGGGGTTTCACGTTTGGATTCATCATTAAGCACGACATCAATTCCTCTTTGTCTTGCGACAGCAACTACACAGCTCTCATTTCCAAAATCGAAACCGACCACACTCATGTTTACTTGGACGCTTCAAAGATGTGTCAGAAAACGTTTCTTGATGAGGTAGGTAGAAACCTGAAGCATTGAAGGCTAAATCGTGAGAATTTCTCAGTTTCATTGTAAGCCAATTACCAACCCGTCATAGCAATCCCTCGCACGAGGCTCAGATGCAATAATGCAGGAGGAGACATTTAAGATATAAAGCACATGAAGACAATTCCCAGCAAATGAACTTCAAAATAAACCCTAGCGTGCAATGCACGGTAGAGCAAGGCCAAAAAGTAAACAGATGGAGGTATTATAGCATAAGCACAGAAACCAAATGAATGAACTTCGATGAAAAATTTAAAAATCCATACAATTCATAGAATAAAAGGCACAATAATTAATTCTTTGCATGCCTCAGTGACAATGCTAACAAATTCAAGCACTAAAAACCGAAAAAAAAAAACTCTGTCAAGCTAAATCAAGCAAAAACAAGATGAAATGTCAAGCAAGCACTAGTACAGAACCATGGGTCCAATCGTATCTAAGGATGTCAAACCCAAATACACATTCCAACTATTCGATTCAACATGCCCACCATGAAAATCAATTATATTCAAGCAACTACTATTCCGAGGCTCACCATAAACACAGCGAAAATGAACTACTTTTTAGATCTAAACATCGTAACGTACAACAAAAGATGCGAATTCAGAAAGGTAGAGAGTACCTGGGTATAGATCGGCCGCGCGGCGCCGAGCTGTGTAGTTCTCGAACTTTCTCTCCCAAAGATACTGTGGGCCTGTGGTGCGGTGGTTAGAGAGAGGAACTCATAAAAAAAGAAATAAAATAAAATGCCGGAGAAAGAAAATCTGTATATAAATAAATATAAATTAATAAATACTAGTAGTAGTAGGAAACCGATGCACTTAGCATAAACAATACTTTGTTCAATCACAAAAATAATTATAGTAATGCTACAAGTACATAATAGTGTACATAAGGATGTACATAATACTCACATTGAGTGGGACTTACCAAAAATAAAAAGTTAAGTGGACCCCACACCATGTGAGAGTTATGTACACCTTTATGTACATTTATTATGTACATGTAGCATTTTCTAAAAAATTATATATCACATAAAAAATAGACTCAATCTAAAAAAATATATTCTCTGATAGGGATATTAGTACTATATTCGGCCCAATACGACTCGGCCTAACACGACTCGACCCTCAACCCCTTCGACCCTTAGACCCTTAGACCCTCGACCCTTATACCCTTAGACCCTCGACCTTTAGACCCTTAGACCCTCAACCCCTTCAACCCTCGACCCTTAGACCCTTAGCCCCTTAGACCCTCAACCCCTTCGACCCTTAGACCCTTAGACCCTCGACCCTTAGACCCTCGACCCTTAAACCCTTAGACCTTCGACCCTTGATCATTAACCGTAAAGCACCGACCAGGGTCGAACCCGGGCCCTAGCATCGACTGGAGACAGGGTGCTCGACCGAGAGCCGATTATCGAGCGGATATTACTTAGTCAACGGGCATTGAGGGATCAACGGTCCCGAGAGGAAAGTCGTCCAGCTAATCACTATATAAAGGGTAAATTCCATAGTTGGGAGGTAAGATCTCATTTAATATCATTACTACAACATTTATTACACACATTTTCTCACTAAGAAATCCAAGCTTCTAACTTGGGCGTCGGAGGGTCTTGCGCCGGAGGAATTCCAGCGCCCTTTCAGGTACCCGCGAACGCTCAAGCTTGGGCCGAACTGAACCGAGTGAACCAACGTCGTAACCGGGAAGAACCCTTCATAAGGCCAGAGCCGCCGATCTCGGACCATATCAAATTGGTGCCGTTTGTGGGGACCCTAGCTCAACCGACGTTGATCTAGTGGTATATCTTACATCATAACCGGAAAGCAAGCGAAGAAGCGAGGATTAAAGCAGATAGTGGATGAAAGGGAGTGTGAGCAGCGGGAGGAAGATAACTCGTGGTTGCACAAGCGTCCTGTAGGGCAGGGCCGCCGCCGGGATAGGTATTGTGTGGAGACACGCCGGCGACTCCAGCCCCTGCTGCTAGACGGCCACCAGAGCTGTCGGAAGCAGCGGAAAACAGTCCAGTGCAAGCGGAGACGATGCAAACACCGACCAGACCGAGTGCGAACTTACCCCGCCGGGAGGTAGGCGGAGGGGAGCCACAGCTCCAAGAAGAAACGGCGGAGGGAACCGGCGCGAATACTCAACTTTTCATCTCGAAGCAGCCCATACAAGTCACGCCTAGCGCTTTGGAGAGGATGATTGCAGCAGTGGTAGAGGCCAGACTAGCGTCGATTTCACCCCCAGGTAGCGCGATTACTACTCGACCTGAAGTGTAGGGGTTAGAAGCTCGACCCTTCGCCTTGGCGCGCAAGACAATAGCTCGACCCGAAGTATTAGTGCGCGAGACGGTAGATCGAACGACGGGACAACTCGTGGACGGACGCAAATATGAGCCGGAGCAATCGGTCTACTTATCCGGAGCCCCACCACAGCATGCAAGGGATTCGATCATCGAGCGCATGGCGGAGCAGCTGCACGAGCTCCAAGAAAATATCGAAGGACGTCGAGGTCCCTGCCGTGCAGGTCACCCGTTCGCGGACGAAGTGTTGGGTGCGGATCTGCCTTAAGGGTTCCGAGAACTCACCATGTCATACGATGGCTCTATAGACCCAGCTCAACATCTCAGAAGCTTTGAGAACATAGCGGTTTTGCACAGGTACAGCGATTCGGTGTGTTGTCGAGCCTTTTTTACCACGCTGAAGGGTGCGCCCAAGATTGGTTCCACCAGTTAGCGCCAGGCATAGTCAAAGACTTTCGAAGCTTCAACTCGTTATTCACCAACCAATTCGCAAGCACGAGAAAACATGAGAAGACGTACTTATCCTTGATAAACGTGCAACAGAGGGAAGAAAGGACATTGCGAGCCTACATAGCCCGTTACACTCATGCATGTGTCGAAGTACCAACGGCCACGGAGGAGATAAAAGTTGGTGGATTAACCTGGGGCTACGGCCTGGGCCCTTTCGAGAATCTTTGTCCAAGAGACCGGCTCAAAGTTATGACGAACTGTTGGCGAGGGGAAGCAAATATATGAACATGGAGGAGGCGCAAGCAGACTTCTTCATACAAGATGGTAGGAAGGAGAAGAAGCAAGAGTCGCGACCCCCTCGACCCGATGATAAGATAGAGGGCGAGAGAACAAGCGGGTAGATGAGAGAGGGTGGAAGCCAGGCCAGCGGTTCGGCCGTTACACCCCCTTGACTACCCCAAGGGGCAAGTGTTTTCGGTATTAGAGAAGAGAGGTAGCTTGGGTATGTTGGACCGACCTCGGCCCTTGCCAAGGAAAAACGGAGCACCTATAGGGTGACCAAAGTTCTTTTGTCGTTATCATAGAGAATACGGCCACACAACTGACGCTTGTAAGGAGTTAAGGGACGAAGTAGAAAGACTAATACGGGTTGAACACTTGAAAGAATTTGTGCTAAGGGATAAGGACCCAAAAGGGGGAAGGAAAGAGAATGATAAGAGAGGGCGAGAGGATCGTGAAGAGCCCGATAAGGACCAACAGAAGAAATGGGTAATTTATATGATCTCCGGAGGCCCTACGGACGGAGACTCAAATCGGGTGAGACAGAGGCACGCGAGGGCATTAGAAGAACATACGAGAGAAGAGGTCCAACTGGCAAAAAAAATACCCCTTATCCACTTCGGCCCTGCAGACCTTGGGGGTGTTGCGGCACCACACAATGACATGTTGGTGATAACAGCAGAGATAGCAAACTTTGACATGGAACGCGTTTTTGTGGACACGGGAAGTTCGGTGGATATACTCTTCAAACACTGCCTCAACAAGATGAAGCTAGAGCTACCCCTACAACTGGTGCAAACTCTTGTATGGCTTCAGCGGGGCAGAAGTCGTTTCCCTCGGTGAAGTGGTCCTCCCAGTGGCGTTAGGGGAAACACCTCTAAGGCAAGTGAAGATGATCAGATTCTTAGTTGTTGAGACTGGATTGGCATACAACGTGATTTTAGGGCGGCCCAGTCTGAATACCTTCAAGGCAGTAGTAGCGACCTATTGCAGAAAGCTGAAGTTCCCCATAGAAGGTAAAGTGGGGAAGGTAAAGGGTAATCAAAAGATGGCGAGGTACTGCTATCAAGTCACCATCAAAGAAAGCCAGTCAGGAAAGAGAAAAGCCGAAGAGATCGTAGGGCAAACTGAAAAGCAGGTGAAAGTCAACATTGCTACCCGGGATGAACTTCTCGAGATTGAGCTGATCGAAGGGGTAGACGGAAAGACGACCCGGGTAGGAAAAGACCTGTCGGATGATAAACGAGAAGAGCTGGTGCAAATGCTAAGGGAGTTTGTGGACATTTTTGCTTTTAGCCCTGAAGAGCTCATCGGTATAAACCCCAAATTGGCGGTCCATCGTCTCAATGTGGACAAGAAGATAACACTTGTGAAGCAAAAGCGCAGACATTTCGGGCATGAACTCGACCTAGTCATTGAGAATAAGGTAGAAAAGTTGCTACGGGCCTGACATGTTAGACCAATTCAGTTTCCGGAGTGGCTATCGAACGCGGTCATGGTGAAGAAAGAGCTAGACAAATGGAGGATGTGTATGGATTTCCGAGACCTGAACAAAGCTTGCCCTAAGGATCATTACCCACTGTCGAGGATCGACCAGCTAGTGGATTCGACGGCAGGGTGCGAACTTTTGAGCATGTTGGACGCCTCGCAGGGGTATCACCAAATCCCGTTGGCAGAAGACGATCAAAAAAGGATGAGCTTCGTCATGACCAAAGGGACATACTGCTATGTTGTTATGCCCTTCGGTCTGAAGAACGCAGAGGCTACGTATCAACGCTTAGTCGACCAAATGTTCAAGGGCCAGATTGGACGAAACATGGAAGTGTACGTCGATGACATACTGGTAAAGAGTAGGCAAGCCATCGACCATGTAGGAGACCTAAAAGAG